CAACTGCTGTAGAGCAAATGGCAATGTGGCTACCAGGAGCCTGTCTGGGAATCTCAAATCCTGTAACAGAATCTTCAGGTATCTGGGTTTCATGAGAATGACATGTGTCATGGTCATTTTTTCCAAGGAAGTTACAGGCTCAAGTTGCCAGGCTCCAGGATAACACAAGACTAGCAGGTGTATCTCCAACCAGTATAAGGGTCTGCCTTGACTAAATGTGTCCTCTTCTCTCACGTCACCAGAATAGCATATTCCCTCCAGAATTCCCTTCCCCACCTCCGCCACCCCAGAATCAGAGACAGGTTGCACAAACCTCCCCACTTCCTCTGAGATTTATAAAAAAGGAGCCCCAGTCATTAAAAAAATACATACACGTTACAGTATTTGAACTGAGTAAGTTGTATTTATATATTTAGGAATACACAAACACAAGCATACACAATGATATATATATCACGCAAGCATATATATGTAACCACCATTTTTAAAGAAGCTATGAATTTGAAAGAGAAAGGGGGACATATGGGAAGGTTTGGAGGGAGGAAAGGGAAGGGAGAAATGATGTAATTATAAAATCAAAAACATTAAAAATTATTAAAGAGGAGTTCACTCTGCCTCTTGGGTCTACTGTCTGCCATACGCCCGTCTTGCTGTCTGTCTGTCTATGTGTCTGCCTATGCCATTAATAACTCTCTGAATAAATCTCTTACCCAAAAAGGTATTCAGCCTCAGCATCCCTCTGAACCCCACATCTCCAACTTTTCAGTAACTTAGGAAAATCTTTGATAAAGCAAAAAACTTTGGGATTTCTATGGAGTATTTTGGCCATGTGCCTGTGTGTCATCTTTCCAACCAGAGAGTGACCTATCTTTTTTTTTTCATTTTTATTACTTTAATTTTAAATAGCTTGCTTCACATGTTAATCCCAGTTCCCTCTCCCACCCCTCCTCCCGCACCCCCCAACATCCCCCCCAGCCTCCCACCCTATCCCCAATTCCCTCCACATAGGGGATATCCAGAGTCTGTCATTTCATTCAGGCCAGGGTCCAGGCACTCCCCTAAGAGTCCAGGCTGAGAGAGCATCCCTCTTTGTGTTATGGACACACAAAGTCTGTTTGTATGCCCATAGGTTGCCCAGGCCTCCTCACTGACTCTCACACTCAAGAGGTCTGGATCAGTCCCATGCTGGCCTCCCAGCTGTCGGTCTGGGGTCTAAGAGTTTCCCTTGTTCAGATCAGCTGTCTCTGCTGGTTTTGCCAGCCCATTCTTTGCCATTCTTTCTGTGTCACTGGGTTCCATGGGTTCAGTTCATTGTTTAACTGTGGGTGTTTGCTTCTGCTTCCATCAGTCACTGGATGAATGTTCTAGGATGGCATATAGTGTAGACATCAAGCTCATTATCAGGAATGGGAATTTAAGGTGGTCTTTCCACTATTGCTTAGCTTGCCAGTTGGTGTCATCCCTTTAGATCACTAGAGGTCTCACTGGTGCCAGATCTGTCTTCTAACCTATGACTCCCTCTTTTATGGTATTTCTCATCCTGTTCACCCCCTATTCTCCCCCCCCACTCAACCTTCCTGTTCCCCAATGACCTAATCTCTCTTCCTCTTCTCCCCCCTCTATTCTTCCCAGCTCCCACTCCGCCCCCACCCCTCACCGTGTTCCCCATCTGTTCAGAGGATCTTGCCTCATTCCTCTTCTCTTGGGTACCGTGCATATCTCTCTTAGGTTCTTTGCTGTTTCCCAAAATCTCTGTCAGTGGAAGTGCAGACTGACACTATCTAGATCCATGTCTAAAATCTATATATGAGTGAGTACATACCATGTTTGTCTTTTTGTGACTGGGTTACCTCACTCAGGATGGTTTCTTCTAGTGCCATCCATTTACCTTCAAATTTCAAGATTCCATTGTTTTTGTCTGCTGAGTAGTACTCCATTGTGTAAATGTACCACTCTTCAGTTGAGGGTCATCTAGGTTGCTTCCAGGTTCTGGCTATTACAGATAATGCTGCTATGAACATAGTGGAGCAGATGCCCTTGTTGTATGAATTTGCCTCATTTGGATATATGCCTAAGAGTGGAATTGCTGGGTCTTGTGGTAGACTGATTCCCATTTTCCTGAGGAATCTCCATACTGATTTCCAAAGTGGATTTACGAGTTGGCACTCCCAACAGCAGTGGAGGAGTGTTCCCCTCTCTCCACATCCTCTCCAGCATAAACTGTCATTGGTGTTTTTTATTTTAACCATTCTGACAGGAGTAAGATGGAATCTCAGAGTTGTTTTGATTTGCATTCCCCTGATGGCTAAGGATGTTGAGCACTTTCTCAAGTGTCTCTCAGCCATTTTAGACTCCCCTATTGAGAATTCTCTATTTAGTTCTGTACCCCCACTTTTTTATTGGATCCTTTGGTGTTTTGGAGACTTGCTTCTTGAGTTCTTTGTGAATTTTGGAGATCAGCCTTCTGTCAGATGTGGGGTTAGTGAATATCTTTTCCCATTCTGTGGACTGCCTTTTTGTCTTGTTGACTGTGTCCTTTGCCTTACAGAAGCTTCTTAGTTTCAGGAGGTCCCATTTGTTAATTGTCGATCTCAGTGTCTGTGCTACTTTAAGGTAGAGCTTTCTCACAGTTCATGTACTTCCCAAGAAGAAATGGTCTTCAAGACATGCAGGAGCTGATTTGTCCCTACCACTTTATAAATGTGTGGGGAGCTCAGTCTCAGAGATCCCTGGCCTTCAAGACACATACAAAGAGGAAATGAGAAGGTGCCAAGGACTCTTTCATTCTCCCTCCCCTCCAGTTCATTTCCTGATTGCTATCTAACCTAAGATAATCATGGCAAAACTACCTTGCCTAATGTACTCACTGGCTACAGGATACACCCTGCTTCTAAAAGGCAATTCAGTATAAAGCAAATTAGGTAACCTCTCTACTTTAGCCCTCTTGTCTGTAAAGTGGAGGTTTTTAAATGTCCTCATAGACTGGTTGTAAGTGAAATATAGACTAAAACTGTGTAGTTTGAGATAAACTATGTCACAAATGCAAGATGGAATGATATGTGATAAAATGAATGAGTTGTCATGAAAAGTCACAAAAGCCTTAAAGTGCTTGAGTTAAGTTAACATGGTTCTTAAGTGAAAGAACCTAGTCTAAAAGGCCTGCATATCTGCATATTCTCTTACTCCAGTTGCATGGCATTCTAGAAAAGGTGAAACTGTAAAGACAGAAAAAAAAAAAACAGTATCTACCAGAGGTTTGGCCAAGCAGGTAAAGCCCATGGGATTTTGTACAAATTATAAATTTACTCTCAGTGAAGATGGAGGAGTGGGAAGTGTCTGCTTAAGTAGCTTTGGAAATTAATGAAGTTTGTAAGACTAAGGGCAAAGGAATTTCATACTCTATCTTATAAAGTTGTTTCCCATAGTGGTACCAGTTTAGAATTTTGACACTACCGTATGTGTGTACTGGAATTAAGAGATTAAATAAACAGAGACAAATGTTAGGAGGAAAAATTCTGACTGAGTTAGAATTTATAGATTAGTAAGGTGATCAGACTAAAATGATCCATTCGGTATGGATTAGAGTTACAGGCCTTGGTATTTACATAATCTAGACTCAAATAGGTAATTATAGAAATATCTGCAAATATGTATTCATACACATTTTATAATGCATGCCTGTGTGTTCTTGCTCTATAAGCTGAGAGATAGGACAAACTGGGAAACCTCAGAGCACCAAACACCATAAAAATGATGCCCAAATCTTGGTTTCTAATACCAAACTATAGGAAAAGGAGTTGAGGCTCTTAGAAGAAATGGCTGGTTCTAGAACCAGAGCAAGCAATATACAAGACAAGCATCATGGAGTGCCAGAAAGTAAGGGATTACTCAACACAAACCAAGTTCTGTATTGTAGGAGTGTGTCAAAGAGAATTGAAAAATACTGGAATCAACTTAAAGATTTCCCAAAGGCCAAAGCTGGGATAATATGAGCAATAAAGTAACTAAGACAGTGTTAACTCATAAGCCAAAGTAGAAAACAATAGTCATGAGTCTGTCCTAATATTTCTCAATTCTAACATAGACAAATTCTCAGGACAGAGTAATTCCAAAGCAGGAGACACTAGCAAGCACTACCTCAGCTTGGTGGTTGTGATCCACACCAACAGAGACTATGCCCTCTCCTTCTGTGGCCTTCCCCTGAAAACCTACAGCCCCACTGTAACTGTGAGGAAAGTTGGACTTGTTCTAGTAGAGAAGTATTGTCCAAAACACCTGAAAAACACTCTCCAAAAGATCAAGGTCATAAAAAGCTAAGGACATCTGAGGACTGTCATAGTTAAAACAAGCCTAAGGAAATGCTAAATACAATGTGTCTTGCTTGAATAGAACCTTGGATGGCACATGAGCATGGTAAAAATGGAGGAAATCTGAATAAGCTACAAACATTGACTGTATAATGGGCCACTTTGTTTGTTCAATAACTTTAATATATATGCCACACTAACCTAAAAAGTCAGTCAGGGAGAGTGAGGGTGGAGGGACAGGGACATTATTCTATAGTCTGGGGTGTTTTTTTTTTTTTTGATTTTTCGAGACAGAGTTTCTCTATATTGTTTTGGAGGCTGTCCTGGAACTCTATCTGTAGATCAGGCTGGCCTCAAACTCACAGAGATCCTCTTTCCTCTGCTTCCCTAGTGCTGGGATTAAAGGCTTGCACGCCACCAACGCCCAGCTATAGTCTGGTTTTCTATGGGTCTTAGCTTATTTTTTAAACAGGCAAAATCTAGTCTTGATGAAGTGACGACTGTCTTCCTCATTTGTTTTCTCAGGAGGCCTCACCATAACTAGCACAGGAAAAGTCCCTTTTAAACGGCAGAGGTGGGATTTGGATCCATCCCTTTTTGCTGATCCCACACTAACTTTAGCGGACCGCACATGGACCGTCTGATCCTTGGCTTCCTGAACGTTCATTAAGTCTATGTTCCTTTCTTCCCCAGGGCATGGCCTTTACCCTCGAAGAAAGACTACAGCTTGGCATCCACGGCCTGATCCCACCCTGCTTCCTGAGCCAGGATGTCCAGCTCCTCCGCATCATGAGATACTATGAGAAACAGCCTAGCGACCTGGACAAGTCAGTGGCTGATGTCTGTTCTCTGGGCCCAGTCCTGAGGCTGAGCTGCTCTGCACTGTGGCTCCCAGAGGGTTTCTAAATTCTCTGTAACTAGGAAAGGCTGAGAGCCCGAGAGACTTCTGATCCAGCTCTGTCTTTAAAAAGAGTTACAGTCTCCCTAGAGATGAGGCTTACAACAGAAGCACAGCTAAACTGAAACTGGATGCGACTAGTGGAGTCTGGGAGGCCATCTGAGAGATGTTAGAGATGAGTCAGTCCCAGAAGCCTTGATGGAACAACTCAACAGTCAGCAGGGGCATGGGGGAGGGCAGAACAGAAGATGGGCAAAATACTGGCATGGGACTGGCAAGGAATATAGCAAGAGGAACAGCGGAGAAAAGGGGGATGGAAAGGGGATGCTTTGGGAAGAATCTAGATGCTATCTGAAGGGCATGAGCAGCAAATAAGAGCACTGCTTCCTCTGAATACTTGCTGCTCAGTGGAGGCACAACCACAAAGATCCCATTTCAGAGTCCTTGAGTTAATGCTATCTGTTCCTGAAGATGGTAGTCACCACCCAGGCACACAGCATGAGTGAGCACGGGATTTAAACACCGCTGGCTCCAGCATCTCTGATTTTAATTTCTCTGCTGCACATAGTTCAGAGATGGTAAAGCCTGGTTGTTGTAAGACTAATTCTAGAATGAGTGAAATCGACCTTCCTGCACTGGATAACTAAAGCTACATTGCCAGTCTCTGTCCTTTGCCTGCCTTATGACTGTGCCAATGGTATCTGACTGGCTGGGTTTAGGAGAATTAAATGAATGTCTTTGTGATATGCTTAGAATGTTGCCTTTGACATAGTAAACCCTATATAAGTTTGTTAAGCAAATGCGTTGTCTTGCTATGGGATCTAGCAGATGTATAGGAAGAAGACAAAAGTTCTGTCTATATCAATGGAGCTAAATGGCTAGAGCTAAATGCCCATGAAAGGCAGAGTTCAATAGCATACGAGGCTCATCCTGCATCTAGCTCCCAGTGCCTCTACCGATTCACCCAGAGCTTCTGAGAAGCAGTTAACACATATACCCCTACCCACATCCATGTCCCAACTCCTGAAGCACTGAACTCCAGGGCTATTGCAAGTCAAATATTCTCTCCCTTCTGTTCACCTAGCCACATCATCTTGAAAAACAAATCAGAAATTACACAACAGGTTATACTAACAAACTGATACATGCCCAAATGTTGAACAATCAGAAACTCCTATTAAATGGACCAAAAATAAGACAAGAGTCCAAAATAAAATGTTTGCTTAAAATAGGAAATTATAAAAGCTGAAATCTCTAATGTTTGCCTTCTCAATGCTCTCCATCTTAATGGACCGCTCTTACTTGCCTAAAATGAGACTCTAGGATCAGGAAATGATGAATATGTGTGTGTGTGTGTGTGTGTGTATATATATATATATATATATATATATATATATATATATATATATATATATATATTCCTGAGCGCGCTAGAGGACTTGCTCCTGGTTCTCTACTTTCCCACACTCACTCCCTAGAGTCTCTCATTTCAGCAAGTGATTGGGAGAAAGGCTAAGAAGGCTCCCCAGCCATTCATACTGGGGTATACTTGTAAATGTGCCAGCAAGGAGGAGAGTAGAATGTAGAATTGGAGAGAAGTGTACACTAATGTCTAGGGAAATGGAATGCCCTACACTGGCAGTGGGTTGAGGGCATGCCTACCCCTGTGTCTAAACTCTCCCAGGAGCAAGGTCCCCGTTCTTAAGCACAGTGACATCATCCAGGGTCTGCCAAGCATCGGTGTCCCTGGGATCAGCTGGCTTCTTCTTTCCTTTCCAAGGTATATCATCCTCATGACTCTCCAAGACCGAAATGAGAAGCTCTTCTACCGGGTGCTGACTTCAGACGTGGAGAAGTTCATGCCCATTGTGTACACACCCACTGTGGGGCTGGCCTGTCAGCAGTACGGTCTGACCTTCCGACGACCTCGGTGAGTACCTACTAAAGGGGCCAGGGAGAGGCTGGCCCATAGAGGGAAAGAAATCATTTCAAGTGGCATTGCTTCTTGACCCTTACTTAGCAGCTACCTTAGAGTCAATGGCCAAAAAGGAAACATTTGACTTTAAACACGAGCTCAGTAAAATAACACCACCAACCTGGAAATGAGCTGAGAGAGAAGTTAGCAAGGGGACATTGGATCTTTTCGACATTCAAATGATAAATGTTCAATAGGCTGTTTGGAGGTGGCCTGAGAGGTAGTTCCCATTGTTTTCACAGTCTCCACCTGTCACCTCTCTCTTTTTCTGTTCACCTCCAACAGACCTCTGGATAATTGAGGACAAAGAATAGCACGGGACAACAAACACATGCTCTCTTTCCAGGCCTTAAATCTCATACCTCCATTTGGAGTTGACTTAGATTTGTTTGTTTTGTTTTTTGTTTGTTTTGAGATAGAGTTTCTCTGTGTAGCCCTAGCTGTCCTGGAATTCACTCTGTAGATGAGGCTGGCCTCGAACTCACAGAGATCTTCCTGCCTCTGTCTCTTGAGTGCTGGGATTAAAGGTGTGCACCACATCCACCTGGTATGCCTAAGTGATTGAAAGCAGGTTCTCCTGTAACCGAGGCTGACCTGGAAACTCACCGTTTAGCAAAGCTATCTGGGATCTCTTGCTCATCTTGCTTCCACCCCTTGCCACCACACCTGACTACAAACCACTTTTTAGAGTGTTACATAGGGAACATGTAATCATGGATCTATGGCAGCTTTAGTTCATCTCTGCTGGGCCGTGAAGGATGAATGGAAAGAATTGGGATTTAAAAATGTCTATGTGGAATGCTGTACCTTAGGTGAGACACCTTTTATCAACTGCTCCAAAGCTCAAGAAACATCCAGAAGAGGGAGTGGAAAGAAAGGATGAACCAGATGTTTGGGAGGAGGATTGCAAAATAGCATCTTCTGGACATGACAGGGACATTTTATTCATGAACTCACTGTAGCTGCAGTTACCTGCCAAAATTGGGCCATCACTTTGTGTCCTACGTGAGGAAGGAGCTCATGAGCCTCCGGCCCTCACTGAGGAACTATGAGCAGGTAATGGGTGCTGGGGGGGGTGCCATTTTCTTTAGTGGTGTAGCCACTAATACAATGCCCATATTCCAGTAAATAACCCCAACTAGTACCTATACAAGCAATTTTAGTTAAACTCAGTGACATCAAAGTAGGGGAGGGTGCTGGGGGAAAGAAGGGTTCCAAATGGGGAACAGAGGGAAATGAGAGTAAAAGAGGTGAAGAGAGCGAGAATTCAGAATATCCATGTTTGAAACTGTTAAAGAATAGACATAGAAACAACAAGCTAAGGGGAAGAGGGGGGCACATATCGAGGTCCATGGAATCAAGATAAGACTAATTAGGGTTAGGAGTGTACAGAAATCAGAACCACTGTAGCCACTAAGATGACTAGATCTCCCTGGGTCAGCAGGTGACATGAGGAAGGCTGGTGATGACTTTTTATAAACTGATGAAAAACTGACTGCTATGTGATATGGTAAAGGGGAAGGTTTTTACTGTAAATATGAGGGAGAAAGCAGCCAGAGACATCTGGAATAGTCCAGAGCAGAGAAAAAGAAGTTGACAGGACATGGCCAGCAGATTAGGCCTGGCCATGAGTGAAAGCAGGAGCAGAGCAGAGAGGGAGAGAGGAGGGGAGAAAATGAAGGAGACAGAGAAAGGACCCAGAGAGAAGCATAACTGAAATAGCAGGGTTATAGGGAGAAATGCGTGGGGGAGGGATCATGAGTTGAAGAGGTTTAGGGTAGGGAGAGCATGGAGAAGAATCAGGATGCCAGCATGGACTCTGAAATGTTCAACAGGTACTTGTGATACTGAGGGAGCCTGGAGGCCAGCGTGAGCTTTAGTATGCTAATAGGCACCACAGATAGCCACTTGTCGCTTCTGCCAACGATAAGGGAAATGGCTACTTTCAGTAGTACCTGAAAACTGCTGACTTTTGTCTAACCACCAGAATTTGGAGAATTGAAGTCTCCTTTGGACCTGACAGACCTAACAGAGGACCATTTCGTGGAATTTATGATTTTTCACTGGAGAGCAGGAAAGGGAAAACCGAAGGGGGGGGGAGGTACCCTTTTGAAAATTGGTATTGTTGTAGTTGTTGGAAACTCAGGAAGGTATTCGGGTCAAGAGGAACTTGTCTTTCGTTGGTGTGTTCTGATGTGAGATAGGCTGGAACAGTCTTCCTGGCAAATGTCCCATGGCTGCTCCCTTCCCATCTTTCATGCCCAGTTCTATGTCACCTTCTGGTCCCAGTCTCATTGCCTTGTGTTATTTTCTTTGTAGCACTTGTTTCTATCTCTAATACCTCTGCTTGTGTTTACTTCTACCAAGAAAAGTATGGAATTTGTTTTCTTTTGTTTTGTTTTTCAAGACCGGGTTTCTCTGTATTGCTTTGGAGCCTGTCCTGGAACTCACTCTGTAGACCTCGAACTCACAGAGATTCACCTGCCTCTGCCTCCCGAGTGCTGGGATTAAAGGTGTGCACCACCAACGCCTGGCTTAAGTATGGAATTTTTTATTTTATTTGTCTAGATTTCAGCCTTAGTTAGAATGCCTGGCATCTAGTTCCCGTGGCAGCAAAACAGGAGGTCCAAGGGTCTGGGTAAATGGACAAAGATGTCTGCCCCAAAATGAAGTCTCTTTCACGTGATCAGGGGAGTTGGATTGATGGGGAGCTATTTCTGGCTCAGGTCAAGTCAGACTTGTGTTCTCTAATGAGTCAGCAATGGGCAGAGCAGTGGTAGTAAGGTAGGGCTCACTGTGTGCAGAAACAGGATCCTGAACCACTTCCACAGGGAGAACCAGGTCATCTCTAGGTGTAGGTAGCATGGGTGCTGCAGCCAGAGACACAGCCTGGGGAAAAATAGGCAACAGCACGAGCAAAAAGCCCAAAGATGAACTGGAATGTGGAGACCATCACAACTGTGAGGTCGCCTCAAATCTTTAACACATCCTATTCAATTATCATCACGCCCTCAGGAGGTAGGCACTGTACCTTCTGCAGAATGAGAGAGCTGAGGCACAGAGAAGTAAGTTATTCAAAGTTATATAGTGAAGCCAGGACTGGACCTGGGTACTCAAGTTTGAGTAAGAAACTGCCACACTGCTCACTACACTGCCTCATAGTTCAGGGCTGGACACACACCATGGGCATTCAGGGTTGGGCACCATTGCAGTTCCAAGAATGACTGACTGCTCAGGGTCTAAGGTGAAGATTAACTAGATGTCATTCCAGAGCCTCTCCCCAGAGGAAAGATCTAGTCAGGTCATTGGCTTACAGCTGCCTGACGCTAAGGCAGGTTCAGGCAGACTGAAATGTCTTCTTGGATTAATTCCTCACACCTAGTACAGTGTGTTTTTCAGTAACTCTTCTTCAGATGACTACCCAATTAAGTGATTTGACATGTGACATTCTGAGCTGTTGCTCTAGGTTTCCATCTGGCCTCTTTCCAGCCTTACTCTCAAGGGAATGAAGACTTTGGGTTCTGCCCTAGCCCTGAGCTTCATCTGAGGTCTGGCTTAGGATGGCTTTATAGATTAACATCTGAGGGAAGGACAGCCCCAGGGCCAAGAGGAGGAGAGCCAGGCCCTCTCAGTTTCTGAAATGATAAATATTCCTGCCAGGTTGCTGTTAACAAAGAAATGCTCTGTAGAAGGGCCTGGTCCCACACCAAAGCTAATTAGGTCCAACTAACACTAGAATTGAGGCCTCCAACACACCTTGGCTCTGTATCACCTCAGAGCCTGGAAGGAGGGGCTGGGTATCTCAGGGTACCTAAAGGTACCCTATAAGAAGAGTGGCTATCCCTCATCCCTCATCCCTGAGTGCCTTTCCCTTGGAACAAGTTCTGCCTGTGCTTCAGTAGGTCTGACTGGCCGGGACACCCAATAATGGTTATTGGGAAGAAGTGGAAGCCAAAGAGAAGGCTGGGGATGCCAGGACAGATTTCAACCCAAAAGACAGGTGTCAGGAGAAAACCAATATGGTAACCAGGGTCCATGAGTGTTCTTCTCCCAAGCTACCCACCTTCACCAATACTGTCTATACCTTCTTCATTCTCTTGGACTCCAGGTGGCACGCACACAATTATTGATATAGCATTTTGAGTCTCAGTGTGCTGTCTAACCTGTATGGGTGAATGGAGGTGTTAATGAAAAAAACTATTCATGGTACCTAAAAGGATAAGTAAAGCAGACTTCTTTCAAGTGGGGGACAGTTTTGTAGGTATAGGGACCACTGTGCGATTCTTGCCCCAAGGGAAAAGATTAGACTCAGTTTTGACAATGACAAATTGGACTTATAACCAAGAAGTAGAGGGGGGGTGGATGATGATATAGTTTCAAGGTGACCGGATACCAAAGGTAGGAAACTTTTACTAAAGTAACTTGCCAGGATTCTTGCTCAGAGTGGGTTCTTCAAAGGACAGAGAGTAAAGTCTACTTCCCGGCCTATCGGAAGAGACCGAGGAGCTGGACTAAAGATGAGGCTGAAGGAGAATCTATCAGACAGTTGAGCTGTAAGAAGTGGAAAGAGCTCAGACCTTAAAGTCGGGCAGTCTTGACCTCAAATTTCAGGTCCTGATAACTTTGACAATTAGCGTAGCAACCCCCTACCCTTAGCCTTTTCTGTATGAAATGGGAACAATGATTATGCATGTGAAGATTTTGAGGTTCCATATGGAAAGGGCCTGACTTATGAGGTTCTGGGAGCTCCGACTCACCATCCCTAGGAAGCGTTATCTGACTGAGTCACCCTCCCTGTACTGGCTAGTTTTATGTCAACTTGACACAAACTACAGTCATGGCTGCTCAATTGAGACAACGCCTCTATAAGACTGGGCTGTAGACAAGCCTGTAGGGTGTTTCCTTAATTGGTGAATCATAGGATTGTGCCATCCCTGGGCTGGTGGTCCTGGGTT